GAGAGAGAGAGAGAGAGAGAGAGACGCAACGTACGGTTTCCACTACATCACCGGTTGATGCCACAGCCACAACAGCAGCAAAGGTAGGACGGTCGAAGTCGGTGTATCGCCTCGCGAGGCGGTCGTACTCGACACTCCCGCGGAGGTATATGTCTGCTTCACTAGATAATTTGGGGCCGAGGGTATGCTTGACGTCGCCTGCAGCTGCATCTAAGATATGACAGCAGTGACAGGGCAGCAGCAGTAGCAGCACCCAGAGGAATTGGTGGAATAGCCACCACGAAGTATGCAGCCTAGTCATAAAGTCGAGAATGCGGTATTCTCTATGGTGGAAATAGACTTAGCTATGTCGTTTTCTCTTGCGAAGTATGACCCACACCCTTTTCTTATACTCATACCGGTATGACAAAGCCCCAGGATGCACCGAGTTGCTGCGACTTCCTCTAACTCCTTACCTACTTTCCTTGCCGATAATCGCACCCTCACTATCCTGCCTGGCCCGGAATGCAACTCCTCGAGGGCCCACTGGTGGACGCAGCTAGCTACCTGATAACAGATAGCCAAGCATTGGCTTGTGATGTGTCATGTATATCACCCAGCTGTATTTGCATTACACGTAGACCTGAGCGGTACACTGGCATCCATAAGGCAAGTAAAATGTAGGTGAAATTAAATTCGGAGGAAATGGAAGTCTCGTGCAGAGATATCAGATATCAGCACTAAAAAAAGCCAGCAGCAGAAGCAGCAAAGCGAGCAAGCAACCATGCGGATCACCACACCAAATGACAAATGAGGCACAACCCACCGTCGTTATTCTCGAAGCGCAGTGCTTGTCCAAGGCGCCAAGTTTCTTCCCTTGTATGTATCAACCTTTCCATGGAAAACAGTTCATGCATTAAAGCCAAATGTGAGATACGAACGAAAAGAACTTTCCGTAAAATTCCCCGACGCCTCACGCTCCCATTTCTTTGACGATCCACGCCCACTGAACAATACAACGACTTAGACCTTGGAGATGTTTATGGCACGTAGAATATCATCCAAAGACCAGCCGGGGCCTCCGGGCACAATCTCCGCCCAAACCTCTTCGGGAACCGCATCCTCGGGATCGAGCAGACTCCAATTCGGGCTTGGCTCGGGCTTGATCCATTTGAAGTCTTCGACCTCGCTCCAGCGGTCTTCGTCGTCAGGCCGATCGTGGTTCAATGTCTGTGTGTCGTGGGTGGTTAGAGTAGTGCTTACAGCAAGATGAGATGATTTGGAAATACTCACATAGATGCGGGGTATGCGACCAAATCGAATATTGGTGCAGTCTTCAATGATAGGATTGCTGGACGCACTCAGGTAGACGTCCACGTTGGAGCAGTTATGCATACGGAACTGGCGACAATCCACCACGACAATACTATGCTCCACGTCGGTGATGTGAGCGGGGCCATTGATCTGTCCGCAGACTAGTAGGCTCTCCTTCACGTTCTTCGCGGTGAGACTAGCGTAGGGCTTGCCGTTGACAGTCGGTATTGACATGTCGACCACGCAGTGGCGCAGCGAGGTAATAGATGCGGGTACGTTGGCTGTAGACCCCGAGGATGGCAGCATGATGTGGAGGTTGTGATGGTTATTCACGGACACGGAGGTAATAGCGGTGGCTGCAAAGCCATGGGGCTGTTCCGGCGGCTTGAGTTTATCATCCGCTCCCTCGTCGACCGGGATAGCTGGAATCGATGTGGGGGCAATCTCCGGCCGTTGCAGAAGGTGCAGCCGGTTATCGGGCTCATTGAGCGGAGTCGACGGATACATCGGGGTTTGAGCGGCGGAGGAGCCCACGGAGGACGAGCCGGGCGAGGCGAATCCGGGGATACTGCGTACCTGCGCAGCCATTTGTGCCGCATCGGAGAGAGAGATGGCCGAGGCATTCTTCTTAGTCTTGAAACTGAACTTGGGGCGCGGTTCCACAGCAGCCCGGGTTTCGACTAGTTTGTCCTGCAGCGCTTTGATAGCCTGTATACCACCGTTGATCAGCCTTGCACTTTCACCCTTGACATAAAGTACAGCTTACTTCTGCGTATATCCGCTGATCGTAGGTGGGAATGTAGCTAGCCGCATCTTTGACTTCGTTGGACAAGCGCGCAATACCGGCCAGACAGTGATCGGTTGCATCCGTCCGCTCTCCCCCTATCAGGGATGTATCTGCCAACCGATCCATCTGTTCCTGGAGGGCTGCAGAAAGCACACGTGTCAGACTCTTTCCCCTTGCCAAAAGGCCAGTTCGCAGGACATCAATTAAGTTGACTTAGCCATACCGGTGATCTCATGCTGAAAATAGCGGAAAAATCGCTCCTTCAATGGTATCTCGGACTTAAGAATCGTCTGGTTCTCGGCCTGAGAGGGCCGTCGAGAGGGGTCGAAATCAGGCATAGACATGGTGGATACAGAGATATAATCGATGGCAAGGGAAGATAGAAGAAAGGGAAAAAGGAACAGAGGAAGAACGGAGAAGGGAGACTGAAGGTTGCAGCTTGACAGAGGGGGGATCCCTGTAGAGGGGAATTGGAGACAGAAGAAATGTATTGATGACGTCGACCGATCTTCTGTTTCCCAAGCCGGTTTGGGATATGGGGCTTAAGGGTCGCTTTTTTCAACGCAACTTCGCTGGGAACGAGGATATCTCGCCCAGGCTAACAACAGAGGATAAGAATCTAAGATCAGGAGAGAAAATTGTCAGTTCCAGGAGGCCCATGCAATGGCAGGCAACTAAGTCAGTCCACCTCGACCGGGGCGTTTTTTCATGGCCGGGGTCGATCAGCCGGCGCGATCCACTAGTGGCAATCTGAGGGGAAAACTCAGGCTACTCAAAGTAAGTGGAATAAAATAGTAACAACCCACCTAGATCCGAATGAGAGCATATGCACCACACGGAAGCTTTGAGCAACTGTCCCGATGTCCTGGTGCAGCTGGAGCATTAACTTTCCGTCCAAGTTGTCTTGCTCGTTGTCTGATGAGGAGAAGACCAGGTAGTGACGTCGCTTACAATCGGGTCCCGGCGATTAACTTCTCCGCTTTCCCCGCACTATCCCCCTTTGGGGCCATGGTGCCTGGGGCAAAGTCAGGCCACCACCACTCATCTAGCAAGGTGCCAATGGATGCTGTGTGTGCCCATTAGACATCTTATGAGTTATTGTATATTATTTCTCATCACACATAAGTACATAAGGTGTTGCAGCGCTAAAGATCAGACACCCAACGCCGACATTATAGAACGTACAGACTCCCTGAACTTAGACCTCACCCTCTATCAATCTTTTCTTATGTTGATGACAGCTCAGGTAGGTCTGGCCGAGGGATTGAGGGCAGGCCATCGATCTCTGCCACCAGCTCATGGGATAACAGCGAATGCCGTCTGCGTTGTGTTTGGAAGTCGGCAACAAGCGGTCTCTCGACTACCAGCCGATCATAGTCGGGTCGCAGGTCATAATCACTGACACTTTCAACGCCCCCCTGCATTCGCACGGTCCTCAGCATCAACTTACCCGTCTTCACCCAGAATGCTAACATTTCATACTCCTGAGGAAACGCCAGTGCGAGTAGTCCGGGCCGAAATACCGCTGGATTCATCTTGTACGACGCCTTTTTCAGCCGCGAGCGATTGAGGCCGCCAGAGGCCTTCGCATCGCATAGATAGATATCGCACATGCCATTCGCGATTATAAAGCGAGAGCCGGATGGTGACTGTGCTGCATGTACGATTCGCGTACTGAACGGATCGTTGGTGATTTTGTTGTCCGTCATGGAAAATGACAAGGGATATTCCTTGCCGAAGAACGCGGTCAATAATACCGCATGATGAGAGGTATCGTAATACACGCCAGTCAGATCCCCATCATTCGTCGTCCACTAGTGGATATCAGTAAGCCATGAAGTGCCGGAGGTAGGGTTAAACGGGCAGACGCACAGAAGGAAGCTTGAAGGACTTGGAGCTATCAGGGACTATATTCCATTGCTGGAACGTGCAGTTCCACACATCGACATAAGCGTAGTGATCACCCAGATGGGTAGCGATCACAAAGTGTTTGCCATCAGCAGAGAATTGAAGCTTCCTTTCGATCACAGCCTCTTGTCGCTGGGCCTCGAAGCCAGACTCTTTAGCACCAGAGAACGAGCCCATCAAGGATCGGTTGCCCAAGTCCGATACGCGGTCCATTCCACTGCCGAGGGAGACTCTCTGGATCGTCCTGGTGCAAATCTCATAAACGCGAACTTGATCTTTGAGCGTGAAGGCAACATATCTATCGTTACGAGACATGACCATAGAACTTATTGGTAGTGATTGGTGATCAGTCTCAATTGTCAGATATGCTTCTGGGATATCACTGTCGTTTTCAAATACAAGGAGCTCGTAATGCTGAGTTCCCGTCAGCACTGGTCCAAGATTCGTGATGCAAGCTACTTACCTGTCCTACTGAAGCGATGACAGCACATCGTTGATCTCCTGCTGCAGCTTGTTGCACGCCCGGAATGTCATACTTGTGACTCTTTGGCTTCTTGCCCTCGCCCTGGCCCAGTTCAAATCGCATGACCCAGTTACTTCCGGCACCCCAGAAGAGCAGACAGCTCCCAGTGGCCGAGAAACAAAACCGGGGCTGACGAGGTAATTGCTGTCCTTTCGAAGAATTCCTCCGGAAAAGTGACGTCCCGCTAGAGAAGGGTATCTTCACATTTTTGAGATCACGGGAAAGAGTCTTGATTGCTTGCTTGTCGAATGACTGGTCGGTCCGACTGCGCGATAAGACGGGGTTGAAGATTTCTGACGTCGTGACACTAGGAGTCTTGCCACTTGCTTTCGAAACGGCTGTCACAGGGGGTGTTGGTGAGGTCGGACTTTTCACTATTTCCACCGAGTCAAGGCGGGATGAGTGGCTTGTAGAATGGCTGAGCGAGCTCGAACATGAAGTGGTAGCTCGAGAAGCAGAGTCTGGAAGGGACGGCTGTCCCTCGCCATCTGAGTCCGAGAAGAGGTGTAGGGCGTCAGAAACCTGTTCGAGAGGCTCTATCATACGAGCATGTTGGATGCGTGCTTTGCCAGGACATAGAGGGCACGTGACATCCATTGTTAGAAATTCGGGACTTCCTTGGAATTGCTAACAAAAAATCAGCTTCTACGTCTAAAATTATTGCGAGCATAGCATACCTCATAAGCCTTCCGATCATGGCTTCTCAATTGTTCTTCCAACATGGCTCCCGGCACAGGATGCACCGCAGGACAGTTGACGACGTAGACCGCCGTGCTAGAACGGCCTTTTCTGATCGGTGCAGAGGGGTCAAAGTCGGCAGGCGATGAATTTTGCAACCACTGGGTCAAATGCTGTTGATAATCATGCGAAAATGCTTCGAGTTCACCATTGCAATCCCACATCTGCACCCGCCGGTTGATGAGCCAACGAACAAACTGGCCCAGGGCCCGCTCCCATGATTCCCGAATACCGGCGAGCTGCGACCAAGTATCTCGAATCCTTCGTGTTTGTAGCGGAGGGGTATCATCGGCCGTCTGTGTTAGAATAGTGGTAGCGAAGACCTGAAGCGGCGCCGTATTGAATTCATCATCGTAGGCCGCCAGTACCGTTCGAGTCAACTTCTTCTTAACTTCTTGTGCTTGCTTGAAGGCCTCGTCTACTTTCAGCGCTGCGGAACTTGTATATCCTTGCTCTTGGGAAATTCGACGGCGATCTATGTGACACTGAACAAGGGCAGAATCTACTGCCCAGAGGACGTCGAGGAGTAAATTGAATGAAACCAATTGGTCGGCATTGTTTTTCATTAATCCTGTCAGGAGGTCTGTGATGAGGGTCTCCGGCGCTCCCGAAACTGGATACTGTAGACGCCGTGAGCCTTTATCTTGAAATCGGGATAGTAGTCGAATAGGCGCACTTACCAGCCCTGCGGCGAACGACGGCAGGTAGGGTTTTCCACGATCGATTGTAAGAGTCTGAGTCGCTGACAGCTCAGTCGAGCCGATGGAGTCAATTGCTTTGGGGAGAAGATCACTAATAAGAAACCGCTCAACATTTGAAAGGTCCGAGTTCCGCCAAGCAGCTCGCATCGCTTTCTCGAATCGAAACTTCTTATCCGTGTGAATGGGTTCTCCGCGCAGCAGCAGGACTCGAGTACCGGCGAGTAGCGTATGCGCGATGAGATGTCGGTAGCCGACGAGTTCTGGATCGGTAGATCGGTTGCAAGGGAAAAGCTCGAGCTTCACCTTCAGCAGGTACATCAATGTCGAGAAGACGGTCTCTGAAGGCAATAGGTAAGGAAGGAAGTAGGGGTGGCATTCGTGGACACTCGCCAGGCCCTGAAGGTAGGTTCGTTGCGCATCGAAGATGGTCTTAATCCAGAAAACCGTTCGGGTTAGTGGCTCGATGGAGGCGGACTGGCCGTCCGGCTGAGATACCGCGATGTCTAGCACATGCTCGCCAATAATCTCGCGAAGGATATTTGCTAGATCACGGCGCCCTAGCTGTTCCCACACGGCTGCCACCAGTGGATGTGACATGGAGGAAACAGGGATGACAAGCCTGGGACATAAGAGCGAGCAAGTCAAATTGGGATCGAGGGAAACGGGTTCGCAGACGGCTAGGGTAGAAGACGGAGACGAAGCAGAAAATGGGAACGAGATCCAGAGACGGAGATCAAAGCATCGAGGGGTAAGCTAGTCGGGGGAGGTCCTGAAGGGCAAAAAAAAAAAATAGCAGAGAAGCAGATGTGTGTGAGTGAAAATGGAAAGTAAGAAGCACAAGAAACCGACAGACTGAGCGACAGAGTGCAGCAGCCGTTGCCCGCTCTTTGCCAGGTGACCGGGACCGATTAGGACGAATCGCAAGCAGTGCTAGAGCCAAAAAGTGCCTTTTGTAGGTGGTGCAGCTCCAATTCGCGGTAGTCAAGTTGAAAGATGGTCTAGTCGGGGGTTCCAGCTTAAGAATATGCGAGGCTGCGTGTCTGTCTTACATGTGGTTTGTCCGTTGCCTTCAGGCCCGCTAATGGCACGGGCTGCAAGCGCCCCAGCCTCACAGGCTGGTGTTGTCGTTAGACGGTCGGTCGAACTAATCCAGAAGTGGCGGTAGTCCTTTCCGACAGGGGATCGTAATCATTGTAACGAACTCAGCCTGGAAATAAAAGAGAGGGTCATGGATCAGATGGGCTGGTACGGAGTACCATTTCGAGGACGGAGACGATCATTACTCTCCGGATCCTCGTGGAGGTGATGAGTGGGTGAATGCATGCAGACGAGGACTAGTGGGAAAATCAATTCTCAATCAGTTTGCAGGGAGACTTGTTAAGAAGATTGATGCGATGGCCTAGTGGTACTGATTTTTAATTCGATGAGCTAAGGATGATAAATCAATTTAGTAGAAAGACCGACATTCAAGGACACCCTTGACACTTACCGATCCAGTAGGTGTATGGCGTATTGTGTCTCAAACTGATATGGGTGTGGCTAAGTAATGGAGGATGAATAATATTGCAGCCAGCAGTAAGATTCGTGGGTCGACAATTGCGATTGGAAGTAGATACCTCCATGGATAAGTGGGAGAAGCCTGGAGAGCAATCAACGATACCTGAGTACCTTAGTTTGTGGATTCAAGAGGGGCTCGTCCCTGTCAGGACGAGCAGATAAGGACAAGGGAGTCCGTGCCTGACTGGTTTGTTTCCCGGTCCGTGCCAAGTTTGCCAATCCACCGTCTACTCTCTCTACACTTACGGAGAAACACAGTACCTTTCCCACCCTCAGAAGACAAGTGAATCACGCATACTTCTTTTGCTTTTCCATCTTTTTTTTTTCTTACTTGCTGACCCAACCAACAGTATACCTCGCATTATCGGATTTTCAGGGGTTTTCTCTCGGCTAAGGAAGTAGACTTTGGGGTCCAAGACATGCCTGCTAGGTACACTACGGAGCAATGGCGTGCGTCACCGAAGAAACATGCTGACTCGCCTAGGAAAGAAGAACATCGGTCTACCCCGCCATTTCACTGTTGTCTCTGACTGTCTGACATGTCTATCCTCGGCCATCCGTCCTCATTCAGGCACATCACGCCGTGGATTTTCTTTTTTGGACCCCACGGTCTGTTCGGCCGGCCTACAATTAGTGGCCCCTGCACTATCCAATGTCATCCTGCTTACCGACCCGCTCTGGAATCACCAGAAGTCCTTGGGGTCTGGTTATCCGGTGACAGATGACAGGGTTTGGAATGCAACATGCAGCTAGACGGTCCGATGCGCATCCAACACATTGTTCCACACACTACAGGGTATAAGGTAGGAAGAAGATAGAGCTATAAATCACGGCTTTACTGAACAATGAGGAACTGGAACGGAATAGGGTTGACGGCCCCGTTCTAGACCCCAGCACTGCGGCCGACGGATCGCTTTCCGCTCGCAAGACCCACACTGGATAGGCCCATTTCCCGGTGGCTTCCGTGCAAACACCAGCCACCAGGACCAAAACTAAGTAGTCATCCAGCGTGCTAATTGGCATACGCACAACATAAAACCTTGGGCAGAACAGGCTAAGTAGCTATCCATTTCTCCAGGCACGATCCAGACATGTCAGCCTACCAAATCGGCAGTTAAACTCTTGATATTTACATCTAGGGACACAAAATGTTCCAAATAATGCGCAGCATTGTTCCTCAAAAGGCGAACAATCAGACATCCCCCCGGGATCGTCAAATTCATTTTCGACACAAATCCGGCTTCTAATCATGTTCAGGAGCCACATTTGCTTGCACCCGACCATCGGGGTGGCTTACCTACATGGACCCATTGCTTTCTTCATTCATCACTCCAGTATTTGATTAGCATGTCTCGCACAGTAAGCGGCTTGATGTTGGGGAAGATCTTATTCAAAGAGTCCTGGGTCGTAATGCAGGATGTGCCATTTGCGGTATACAGTTCGAAGATTGACATGAACCACTGGAAGGCTTTCTTCGGGAAATGCTGATACAGGGCTTGATGTCCAGGCAACTCGGTTATCTCGAACCCCCCGAGTTTTTCTATGCTGTCATAATGAATTTCGAATCGACAGCCTGGCGGTTCAAATTAGAAAAGACTCTCGGAGAAAGCGAAAACCAGACTCACCACAGATCTCCTCCGCCAGCCTGACGAATTCATGCCAGGTGACAGTATCGCCGATCACACGGCTTTCTTCGGGCCAGTCTTCCATGTCGAGCATGGCGACAACATACCGGGCCAGGTCAAAGGTGTAGGTGAATGTGATTGGAACTTCACCATCTCCGGGGATTCCTGCTATCTTGTTTCTCAAATCTATAACGAAGACATTCGGTTTCAGGTATGATTTGAGCGTCGATGGACCGAAGTAGTCAAGAAAGATACCATTGAGGAAGACGGTCCACTGAAGATCAGACTGTCGGAGAATTTCAATCGCTTTGAAATAGTCCGCAAGTTGCGGCAAAAGCTTCACGGCACTAAAAGTCATCAGCTTATATGGCACGAAAAAGTATGCGTCCATCCTAGCGGAACATACTCCTGAGGATATGGAATGGCGAAGCCACTGGGCACAAATCGCCGAGTGACTTTGGAGTTGATGGCAGCTTGGATGAGGTTTAGTTGCGATATCGCCAGTGAATCTCCCTCCACGGCAAAACAACAGATCACTGTGTCGATTTGATGTGTGTCTAGCACAGCAACCAAACCGTCAACGCTCCTATAATCGACTTGAATGGTTTTGCCACCCTCACCATCAGACTGCTCAGCCTTGTCAGTAACGATGCATCTAGAGAAACAAGACATGCAATGGTTACAACCTTGCGGGATAGAACAAGAGCCTCGTGCTCAGGAGAATCATTTAACACCTCCACAATTGTGCGGCCAACACCGCCATGGCCTCCAGCGATAGCAACACGAACCATTTTATTATCCAATATGCTCAATAAAGCTCTCGTGAAAGACAAGTATCTGCGAAGGATAAAAGCTCAAACTTATAGCGAAGACTCGGTCCGCATAGTTCTCATGTCATGGCCGCTCCACTCTGCGATACGAAAATTGCCTGTTTGGGATTAGGTTCGAGGCGCCTGTTGCAGCGCCGAGACCTAGGCTACTGAGTGACTACGGGCCACTGAGTACGACCATCAAGTCCGTATGCGTTTCAATGTCTGCAGTTCTCGCCTAAACCACCCTCAAAAGCCCAATGGATATCACGCCCAGGCTGAGAAAATTTCGGATTAGTTCCGCACCCAAGAGACAATCCCAACAGCGAGGCTTGTCTCGAAAGTCTCATACCAAGTCCCGTGGAGGCTGCCAAGCGTGCAAGAGCAGTAGAGTCAAATGCGATGAGATTCGCCCCAGCTGCCGCAGATGCTGCCAGCGCCGGACGCTGTGTGTGTATGGTGACCCTCATGCTGCCTACAGTCAGGCTAGCTCGGAAGATCACGAGCCTGTCTGGCCAGGTCATGTCAACAACTGCTTGAATCCCAACGGATCCTGGCTTCCTGGTGGAATATCGCCAACACCCAAATCAATATATCTTCTACGGCATATTGACGGCTGCCTTGATGCAACATTGACGTCTGAAGTTGGAAAGGAGATATTCAATCAGTTTCTGCTGCCCAACTGCGCATCCACCCCGATGCTTCATAATGCTCTCCTAGCACTTTCGGCTCGACATCTGCAGCATCTACAGCCTGCAAGCACCGAGTACCAGAAGGCGTGCTGGTTTCATACACAGACAGCAACACGCTTGCTTAGGGAAGAGCTCGCGCAGCACCCGACAGCGTTAAGTAAGCTAGACACTGTCTATGCCACCGCGCTTCTCCTAAACATGATCTCCTTTGCTTCGCAAGAGAGATCACCATACAGATCCTGGGTATTTCAGCCCACTGCAGCGGCTAGGGTCAACAACCTCAGCTGGCTATCTGTACAATGTGGACTAGGCTACTTAGCAAGAATAATGCAACAGAACCCGCAGCAGGGCTTCTGGCGTCTGAAAAATGAAAGACAGAAGCGGCTTGCGTTGGAAGCCCCGCCCGCTACTCCGCAGGATCTGCCTTTGTCTCAGACTCTGCGATGTGCGCTGGAAGATCTATGTGATGTCACTACCAGTAGCCTTCCGGACAATAACCCCTATTATATGCCCTTGAGCGTCATCGCTCCTATGCTGCAGCAACATGAATCAAATGCCCACGGCACTAGCTCATTGCTGTCATTTGGGCCTAAGATATCTGCAGCATACCGGAATCTTCTGCTTGAGCGAGATGAACGGGCGCTGCTGCTCCTGATGTTGTGGTTAGAGCTTCTCTGCCAAGCAGATGTCTGGTGGATCACTGACCGCGCCTATCAAGAATTTCTGGCTCTCCGACGCGTGTTGAGCTGCAGTGCCGACCCTCGAGTACAAACCATACTCTCCCTTTGCGAACCTAGCCATGACAGAGTTTCGGTTATGCCTTTCACTTGAAAAATTATTGAGAGAATCTCAAAGAATCACCATGAAGGATGCTCATAGTAGTGTAGCAAGTCTTTGGGATTGGTGTACTTGGCAAATAAGTGGGTGAGTGCCCTCAATAAATGCTTGAATACAAATACAATGGCTTCCTTGTACTGAAGATCAGTTGTTTGGATAGAACATAAAGCCCACAGCTCATTACTCCAATGTGACCGTGATCCAAGTGACTCAGATTCCCTGGAATCAAAAAGCTTCACATGTCTGGTCAGGATTTTGATACAGTACCACGGGGGCGGGGACAAAGATCCTTGTAGATTTTAACTCTATAGCTACCTCAGGCCAACATCTAATTCTGTGGCCTAAGGCAACAACATGGTCCCGAGCAGGAATAGCGGATCGCCTGGACTGGGTCTCAATCAATGGTCCGCCCCATCTGGTCCTCAATAAAGCTTCAAGCTTCCCCAGCCAGTGTCCAATAGACGGCAAACGCGCAGACGATTGGCCTCGCGCTCCCGTTTGGTCGTCTCTATCTCCCACTACATTTTCCAGAAGCTTCATTATCAGCCTGGGAGCCCAATCCCAGAAATCACCGGCACCACCCGAGACACAATGACCGCAGCGATCCAGGAAATCGAACAACTTTTGCCCAGCAGACATTCAGACTCATGTCGCGCCAGACAATGGATTGGCTAGCGGACCGACAACGTGTCTATTGTCGAAAGTTTCACGGACTCAACTCTTGGTGGTACCAATCAGAGACGCTATACACTTGACCATGCTGAAGGAATGACCGGCCCAGCCTCTGGTTGAGGCTTGAGCTTATTCCGCGATTGACAGGGAATAGCTCTCGTCGGTCGCCATGCAGAAGGAAGCTTAGTTGTAATCGTCACGTGGAAAATACGGAAGGGCAGAAGATATCAGCCATTCACTCGATGACTCAAAAGCCATGTGAAGTCCGGGGTTTGAATGAGCCACGTGGTTGCAGTCCTTCGATTATGTCGTTGTCGTGCATTTTCTATGCTAGATCGCAAGCATGTGGCCGCGTTTTATGCCGATCATCTTGGGCGTTTTACCCGTGCTGGTCTGTGGGACCGCTACACTCCCTATTCCTGCAGACAGGTACCTCGTCGTAGACCAGCTGCAAGGTATCCCGGATGGGTGGATGCGACAGTCTGGTCCTACTACATCAACGCCAACAAGATTCTGGTTGGCAATGCGCAGGTCCAATGTCTCTCAGTTCGAAGAGCAAGTGATAGCCCGGTCGACTCCTGGCCATCCTGACTATGGCCGCCATCTGAGCAGAGAGGAGCTTCGAGCGTCTATGCGCCCTTCCGACGAGGTTGCTGCCAAAGTCCGTACATGGCTAGAATGGGAACATGTGCCGGCCGAATCAATCGAAGATCGGGGCGACTGGCTTGCGTTCACTATTCCATTATCGCAGGCCGAGTCAATGATGAAGACCCAATTCAGCCACTTTTACCACCCAAGGACACAAACAACAACGGTCCGGACGCTTGCATACTCTGTCCCAGAGGATATTCGACCGTTTGTTCAGCTCATTCAGCCTACAACACGGTTCGGATCACCCCAAGCTCTAGACAGTCCAGAAACCTTTGTACCTGTTGCACTCACTGCAGAAGACCTCGATGGCAATTGCTCGAAGACAGTGACTCCTGCTTGTCTGCGCCAGCTCTACGGGATCAATGATACCGAGATAACACCCGACCCACGCAATCGACTAGGTGTCTCAGGCTTTTTGGAGGAATATGCACGGTATGACGACCTGGAGCAGTTCCTCGCAGAATATGCCCCAAATCAAGCCGATGCCAATTTCTCCGTGGTCTCAATCAATGGTGGGCGCAATCTCCAGTACTCGCTGAGTCCGTCCAGTGAGGCGGCCCTTGATATCCAATACGCTCTATCACTGTCCTACCACGCGTCTGCTGTGTACTATACTACTGCAGGGCGTGGGCCGATGGTGCAAGAGTCCGGGGTGCTGACCATAGCTGACTCGACAAATGAGCCCTATCTCGAGCAATTGCACTACCTGCTTGACCTACCAGATAAAGATCTCCCTGCGGTTCTTAGCACCTCCTATGGGGAAGAAGAGCCGTTTGTACCCGCGGCATACGCAGAAGCTGTCTGCAACCTCTTCGCGCAGCTGGGGGTCAGGGGAGTATCTGTCATCTTCAGCAGTGGTGACTGGGGGCCCGGCGATACATGTATGACCCATGATGGTACACGGCGGACTCGGTTCCAGCCCGTCTTCCCCGCGTCGTGCCCGTTTGTCACATCGGTGGGCGGTACGGAAGGGACGAACCCCGAGTCTGCCATATCCTTCTCCGGAGGCGGTTTCTCGGATATCTTCGCTCGACCTTCCTATCAGGATGCGGATGTTACGAGCTATTTGCAAAGCCTGGGGAGCATCTATGAAGGGCTTTACAATCCACAGGGGCGCGGCATCCCTGATGTCTCCACCCAGGCCAATAACTTTGTGCTTCGGGATCATGGTGAGTGGATGAAGACTGGGGGTACCAGGTGAGATCTTCTCTTCCTTAGTCACTAGCAGTCGCAAACTCGGGATTGACTGGAGCTGTAGTGCTGCGGCGCCTGTCTTTGCCGCCATAATCTCTCGACTGAATGCAGCGCGTCTGGAGCAGGGCAAGTCCACACTGGGCTTCCTGAACCCATGGCTATACTCGCTCAAACAGAGGGGATTTACAGATATTGTCGATGGAGGATCGGTTGGATGTGACGAACCCACGGGAGCGCAAGTACCGTATGCCGGATGGAATGCGACTCCAGGCTGGGACCCCGTGACGGGGCTGGGCACACCATACTATGAGACTCTGTTGGAGCTTGCATTGGAAGCTTAGTTAACTTAGCCAGTCGCTTTTTCCTTCAATACATAACAAAATCCCTCCCTCCCATAGTTTTATAATTACCGACAGCTCTATACCTGTCCTACCAGGTCCAGTAGATATTTCCCAATCGGGTAAGATGCTCTAAGCACCAACTACACGTGATCCGTCTCTCACCGCCCGGGGACAGCTCTTCCCGGCAGTTCCAAGCATCAACGTCAACGTCCATCAGCCCAACCCTCACCTTACGTTTAACATCTCAATCCTAACCTTTGAATTTATCTGTCCTCATCATCACCCTCCACAGCTCAACCACCGACCATCCAACCCTCACGCCCAGCACCCCATCCCGCCTCTCTAATCTTCTCCTCCCCCCTTCACCCCCCAATCAACCGGCCCAAACCCCAAACCCAAAGATGGCCACCGACCTCCGCACCCTCATCACCCAGCTCCACAGCAGCCTGAACGCGCACAACCTCGAAAAAGCCAGCAGCATCCTCACACAAGCAAAGCGCACGCTCCTCCAGCAGAACGCCCTGATCCCCACCCCGACCACACCGCGGGAGCTGCTCCCGCTGGCGCGCGAGATCCTCGAGCTCGGCGCCCTCGCCGCGATCCGTCAAACCGATGCCCCCGGCTTCACGCGCTACTACCAACAACTGCAACCGTTCTACGATCTGGAGCGCGAGTCTCGGGAAAGCAGCAGCAGCAGCCAACGCAGCAAGATCACAGGCCTGTACCTGCTGCTCTTGCTGAGCATGGGCGATAGCACGAGCTTCCACACGGTGCTGGAGGGCTTGGTCGAGGAGGCCAGCCTGCAGGGTCGGAGCGTCGAGGACGACCCCTTCATCAAGTACCCCGTGGAGCTGGAGCGGAATCTCATGGAAGGGAGCTACGATAAGGTGTGGCGGGAGACGAATTCGGAGCGGGTGCCCGGCGAGGATTTCGGGTTGTTTTCAAGTGTATGTCTCCCCCTTTTGCCGGCATTCTTCTCTTTTGGGGGGTGGGGGGTTGAGATTGGTGCAGTGTGTGTGCGCCTGCTAACGTGATTCGTGTGAGGTATATAGGTCCTCGTGGGTACGATCCGCAGCGAAATCGCCGATTGCTCCGAGAAGGCGTACCCGTCGTTGCCGATCTCCAACGCCAAGAACCTGCTCTTCATGGACTCGGAAGGGGCGGTGATCGAGTTCGCCCAGCAGCGGGGGTGGGTGCTGCGCGACGGCCGGATCTATTTCCCCGTCGAGCCCGAGGCGGCCGCCCGCTCGGAGAAGGATATCCTGGTCGCGAGTGGGACGATCATTGAGAATGCGATCGGGTATGCGCGGGAGTTGGAGACGATTGTTTAAGGGCCGCCGTTTTCTCCTGTGGTGCCGGGTGGTGTAACTTAGACAAAGATATGGGGGGTGTCTGCATCATTTTAATGAGGATTGCTATGCCATTTTCTTCTTTCTCTCGTGCGGAGGATAGATGAGTATCTCTTGCAGTATACACTGCAGTATTCAGTATATTATGATTGATCTATATTTTATGATATCTATACCCGAACCCGCCACAAACAGACCCGCCGATCATAGAAACTACTCGACAAACAGAGCACCTCCTGCTTTTCCAAAGTATCGCTGCTGCGCACAGGTAGCTCATAACCTCCAGCAGGCTTCCACACATCAGACGCATAGTTCATACTCTCATGCTCCGTGAACTCCGCCAGAATCTCCAACTCCCACGCGGACTCCGCGGAGGAGGATCGCACCCGCACCACCCGCGTCCCGCCGTGCATGCAGCTCGCCAACACCAGACCGGTCCATCCGTCGTCTACCTCTTCGCCAACCACAGACGATGACGATGACGACGACGACGACGACAGAAGCTGCAGCCGCCACACGCCCCCGCCCAGCCCTATCTCCGCGAGAACCTCCCCGCGTCGAGTGGCGTGGTACACTCGCAGAGACTCGTCGTAGCTCCCCGTGAGGATGATGGGGCTGTCGTCTCGGAGTGGAATGGGCAAGGGGAGGATGGAGGTTACGCCTGCGGTGTGGTGGCGGGCGCGGTCGTGGTGGTCGAGGATCGCGGAGAGTTGTGGGGGCTGAGTGTCGTCCGCCTCTGATGTTGGTGTCCGGTTGGTGTCGTAGCGGCGGGTGTGGAGGGCGCCAAAGTCGTTTCCGGTGAAGATGTAGGGGATGTTTTGTTGCTGCTGGTCGGGAAAGGTCGCGAGCGCGGCGAACCAGACTTCAATGGCCTGCGAGGCCGGGAAGGAATCGAGTTCTGCGATCTGGGGTGGTGAGTCCGGGGTCGGGCCGGGGGTATATTGGAAGATGGTTGTTAGGCTGTCGGAAAAGGTGACGGCGAAGGCGTCAAGGAGAGTGTTGTCGGTATTGGGACTGGGGTTTGGCGATGGCCAGGTCGAGGGCGTCCAGGCGAGGAAGAGGGCGGGGATGGAGGGGTCTTCGTGGACGGAATGTGTGAGGAGATGGGTTAGGCTGGGTGGTTGATCATTTTGCCCCGGTGTGAGGCGGAAGAAGGCGACGGAGCCTGCGCTTGTTGCGATGGAGAGGAGGGAGGGGTCGCGAGGGTGGAAGTGTAGGTCGAAGACTGCGTAGGGGAGAGGAAGTTTGGAGAGGAGGGTGCTGGTTGTGGTTAGTTACCTCGTTCTTGGGGTGATGCTGGCAGGATATAGAGAAGCTCACAGCTCGTTGGTAGAGGGATTTATGCGCCAGAGCTGTAGGGAGCCGGTCTTGGTTTGTTTGACGTCGGAGTCATTTGTTTCGTCTTTCTGTTCGGACAGCAAGTAGGTGCCGATGATGCAGCAGTCGGGAATTGCGGGGCAGAATTGCAGGCAGCTGGGAGGTTGATCGAGAAAGACAGTGGTGTTGGAGGCAGGTTGCTGCAAGGGAGGAGACGAAGAGTCTGCCATGTTGCGGTGTTGGGGTAGAGCTTAATAAATGTACAGAGCTGGAGTGCGGGAGGTTGCAATTGAAGATATTTTGCAGTACAAAAAGATACGGAGACAATCAATTAGTGGGTAGCAAGCAGCAAGTGGAACATGGCAAATAGTAGGCCCCAATTGCTGTATAGAATAGCTGTACAAGGTTTATCGAAAGTCTAGAATCGTCTATAGAAGGATAGAATAATGGTGATAAATGGGAGTGTAAAGAGTCTGATCTATATGAATACTTGAGGATCCTGTGAACTAAATTGGTGTGGGCTGATTGACTGATGGATTGATTGATTAAGTCCTTATCTTGTTCACACCTCATCATCATCCACCCTCTCCTCTTCTCCTCTTCTTCTCCTCTCCACTTGCTTCGTCTTCCTCTTTCTCTCACCTCCTCCCCTCCATAGTCATTGTCAGTATCTGACTCTTACCAAATCGATCTATGACGCTCGTTCAATTCCACCACTTCAATTGCAAGAAGTCCTGAACATCTCCGCCCGCATGTCGTCATACTCGCTGTCCTCGAGTACTTCCTCATCCCCTCAACCGCTCGACCAGTCCCAAGAGCAACAACAACAAGCTTCAACCCAGAACCACCACCACCACAACCAACAGCAGCAGCGATCCTCCTCCGTCCATCAATCAGCCGCCTCCTACTTCTCCTACCCGGTCACCCACGTCGTCTCAGGCCTCTACCGGCGCTTCACCGACCCTCGATCCACCAAAAGCAACAACAACAGCAACAAGGACAGCAGCACGATGCGCCGCCCCTGGCACTCCAACACCACGCCCACCGACGCATCATCCACAGCCAACACGCTCTTCACGCCCGTCCGAACCGCCTCCCCCTTCCAACCCCCGCCACTGACCCCTCTAACCCTAACCGACCCCTCCAGCCACCACCCCGACAACAACCAAGAAGACTACCTGCTCACGCGCTCCCTGGCCGAAGAGATTCGGCTGTTGGTGCCCGCCCGCCTCCAACTGTGCGACACCTGGCGCCTAGCCTACAGCCTGGAACGCGACGGTGCCTCGCTGTCGACCCTGTACGAGAACTGCCGCGCCATCTCCCAACGCAGCCCGCGGGCGGGCTACGTGCTGATCATCCGCGACGCCTCTCCCTCCCCCTCCACCACCTCATCCTCAACAACAACAACAACCTCCACCAAAAACAACGGCAGCACCGGCGCCGTCTTCGGCGCCTACATGACCGACCCCCCGCACCCGGACTCGCACTACTTCGGCACCGGCGAGTGTTTCCTCTGGCGCGCCTCGGTGCTACAGCCGCCCTCGACCGCCCAACTCCTACAATCGATGTCCACGATCAGCAACACTTCCAGTAATCAAGAAGATGCCGCATTGGCCGCGCTCGAACGCGCCGGGCTCCCTTTACCGCCCAGCGCGGACACCACGCACGCCGGACGGTCGACCACCCTGCGGAGCCGGAGTCCCTTGCCCCGTAACCCCAGTAATTTGTCGGTTCCTGGGACGAGTACCCCTAAACATAGCAGTAGTGGGACGGCGACGCCGGAGCAGATCCGCTTCAAGGCGTTCCCCTACAGCGGCGTCAATGATTATATGATGTTCTGTGAGACGGGGTTTCTGAGTCTTGGTGGGGGGTGAGTTTTATCTCCCTCCCTCTTTTATTCAACAAGGGTGGATTATTATATTGGACGTGCTAACACACGGGTGGTTTGGTTTAGGGATGGGCATTACGGGCTCTGGGTGGACTCGAGCTTGGAGAAAGGCGTCAGTGCCGCGTCGCAGACTTTCGGCAATGAGCCGCTCTCGGATGAAGGCGTCAAGTTCGATATCCTCGGGGTAGAGGTTTGGTATGTCGGTTCTTAGGGACAGGCGCGCAAATGAGGCCCCCGGTTCTTGGCAATAAGGTATAAGTGTGTGTCTCCAATCGGCCATTTGTAAGTTGATTGCTGCTGGGTTATAACAAAGGGGGAGGGGGGATCATGGTCTGCGGGCAGAATGGTCTATAATAATCTGAACATTGACCCGGCCGGGGGGCATGAATCAGGGAAGGAGGGGGTTTGGTGGGCGCGAGGCAGATGAAATACCCATCCGGAGTTAGTATAGGGCAGCGCCTACAACAGTGCTGTGGCCAGTGTTCGGATAATTCATCGTCATCTCATAATTCGTGTACTTTGATTACCACTACATAGAGCTACCTAGGAGAAGTATCATCGTCGTATCATTCGCCATTCCCACTCCCACCTGTCAGAGAATTCCATCGTGACATTACAATCCGTGATGATGACACAAAAGGTGTAGGTAGAAGGGACAGACTCAAAAAATTAATAACAGAGAGGGGTATGCAATGCACTAAATTGAAACAAAAAACCACCAAATCAGCATCAGTACGGCGAGTTGACAATGTCGTCCCTGCCCAGACGACTGCCCCAGTGCGTACGGCGCCGAGGAGTCATGGGCAAGGGACCAGCAATACTCTCACGTGTCGGCTTCAGCAGACTCTTCTTCGCCACCATGTTGACTTCGTTGGGTAGCGCAACAATGACATTCTTGTCCGAACCGAAGCGGAAATTGTCGGCCATGACTTCCTCACCGTACCGCTTGATGGTGTAAGGGTCCTTGCGGCCAGCGATGACCTTCTTCAAGCTCCAAGTGATGATGAAGGGACCGGTAGCGGTGACGATCGATGTTTCCTGTGAGTCAACACCCGTGTTGAAGCGAGCCTGAGTGAAAGCAATTGGTTTCTTGGTCTCGTGCTGGAACTGGGCGACATGAGCGGGCTGCAGACCCAAGCGACGCGGCTGCGGCTTGGAGTCTTTGGCGAAAGAACGCTCAAAGCCTAGCTTGCCCTCGTTCTTGCCGTCCTTCTGCAGGGCGTCGATGAGCAGGAGGTAGGTACGGCAAGTGGCCAAGACCCAGCGACCATCGGCAGACACATCGAGACCAATAATGGGCTCGCCCAGCGCCGGAATATGAGTCTTTGCATTGATACCAAGTCGGTCAAACATGCGGATATCGCCCTTGTTAGACGCGACGGCAATGTATCCCTTCTCCGTGGTGGCCACAGAGGAGAAGTCGTTCTTGCTGGCGTATTGCTTCAGCTCAGACTCCACCAGCTTGTTTCCGGCCACACGGGGATCGACGCGGAAGAGAGCATTCTTCGAGGCACCAATGAAGGATTGAGCGGACGTCATTTGAGAGAATTTCTAGGCGCCAAGTTAGCGATCGTTGAATCACGGGTACTAATGTGGAAATTAACTTACACTCTCCGGGGCAAATGTGTGCACGGGGATGTCATCATGCACCTTCCACTCGTCCACAATCTTGCCGTACTCCAAGTCCATGCGGTAGAGGGAGTTGGGGTCATCGCTGTTCTGCAAGATCATGTTCGAATCTTCGGCGTGTAGCATGACCTTCTTCGGGCTGAAAAGCTTGCCACTTGGAGTCTCAACCTTGGAGATGTTGGTCGAGAATTCGAGGTTGTTGTTGGGGGTGTGCTTGAACACGCCGATCTTAGAACCACGAACCACGAACGAACGATCGTGCTTGTAACCGACGGCCAATTGCGAGTTGACATTGCCGTCATCTTCACGGGTCACCACATCGTCTTCCTCCTCGTCGGAATCGTAGTGTTCGCTACGCTGGCCCTCATCCTGGTCCTCTTCTTCGGACTCCTCTTCCTCCTCGGCCTCAGCCTCGGCTTCGCGCTCCTCGGCGTCCTCCATGGTCAGATCCTGGAAGGCGTCCAAAACATACTCCTTCTCATTCTCCTTGACCTTGGCCCACTTCATTTCGTTCAGCTGTTCCCACAGCGCCTGCATGAGACCCTCTTGGAATCTCTCTTCCGTCTCTTGATCATGGAAGCGCAGGAGCCAAGAGTAGGCTGAACCGTCCTCGCTGTAGGCGTTGAAGATGAAGGACAAGTATTCAAAGTTGAAGACAGGGTTGATATCAGCGACGACTGCCTGGCCAAGCCATTCCTTGTCGTCTCCACTAATCTGGAGCCAATATTGCCAGTCACCAACCTCGGAGACTGTCGCGGTGATATTGGCATCTTGCTGTACAAAAGTTCCAGTGGGGAAATCGAAGAGGTGCAGTTCGGCCTTCTCTTGCGCAAGAATCTCCCGAGGCTCAGGTTGCGCAGCCGACGGCGGAGCAACAGTCGATTCGTCTTGAGCAGCAGGCTTGATCAAGCCCTTTGATTTGGAATATTCCACGTCCCTCGCCATGGCAGTTGCTGCGTCGGGAGAATCGATGGAGTGGTCGCGAGACTTTGTGGGCGAAGAGATGGGACTTGCTGACGGGATGGGCCTCTCCTCTTGGAATGAGAACTCTTGCAGCTCTTCCCGAGTAGCCTTCTGCGAGCTTGTTCGATATGTCCGCTCGTACTGGCACTGAAGGGCGGCCAACTCAAAGGTGGAAACCTTGTCCGCCGGTACGGACGAGTCGCAGACAAACTCGAAGAGATCACCTACGTCGCCACTGAGGTCTCTCCAGGCCAGGATCTTGGCACCACCTTCGCGGACCTCAGAACGAAAGTGAAGGGCTTGGTCGAGCAGGAAGACCTTCTCGTCTTTATCCAGGCTGTCACTACCTTGCTCGTCGTCGTCTTCAGCAAGCTCCTCTTCCCCTTCCTCGTAAGCTCGTTGAACGACGAGTTGATATTGAAATTCTTGCCCGGTGCGTCTGATGGAGGCAGCGGCGTCCTTGAAGATGAGCTCTGAGTATCCCTTGGGCGATAGAGGGCGGACAAGGTACAGTTGTCCTTGAGGAATTTCGATGATGGATTCTTTGGAAGTGTCTCCGAAGAGGTACTTGCTCACTGAAAAGCAGAAGAAGGGTAGATGGTTAGCGTGTGATGGTGGAGGGATGAGGTCAAGATGAAGAGGTGAGACCGGGGAGAGGGAAGGAGGGGTCGATGGTGGGGTTAAGTGAATGGGGAAAGTGAAAGTATCTGTTACTGAGCCTAGACCAAAAGCTAAGTGAGAGAAACTTACCATTGCGGAGCATGAACATGGCTGCAGCTGGCCGGGCGTCAGAGCAACAGCAACAGGTTGTTTGTTCGGGTGACGGGTGATATCAGGGAGGGGAGATCCTGTTGCTAGGGGAGCAGGGGTGTTTGATCAACCCAGGTGCAAGAGAAGTATGAAGAGAATAAATCCCTGGTGTAGCCGAGAGTTGAAGAACTTCGTAACAGTGGCAGAGAACAGTCAACGGCAGGCTGACTCAAACCGACTGCGACTTGTGAGTGTGGGATGGCAGGCGACGCCTTGGAGTGAGTGAAGTAGAAAATAAAATGTTTTGATTTCCGCTGTTGTTGTTTTCTGCCGTCATCGAGTGGCAACGGCTGTGGCGTTGATCGATCTGTGGCTCGGGTGGCGGTGCATGCCAATCATGTGAATTTCATCATCAGTTACAAGTAGTTACCGTACAATACATACATTACATTCCCATGGTTCTAGCTCCAATCTAATTGCCCTCTTTGGCTTCTACTGCTTCGTTTTGTTCCTCCTGCTCCTGCTCTTGTGCAACAGCATTTGCTTCCTGAATAGCTTCGGCTTCTTCTTTGGCATCTTCCTCCCCCTCTCCCTCTTCTTCCTCCTCTGCCTCATCTTCTCCATCCTGCGGCTCCCCCGACTCACTGACCGACTCTTTCAAAGTGCCGCCTTTGCGCTGGGGAATGACCTCCATAAAAGCCTTGCCCCAGTCGCCCACTTCCAACCACTTCAGCATGATCTCCACCACATGGTTCGTAGCCAAGACCTGACGGGAGGCCATCTGGATGTATTCACCGATCGGCAGCTTGGCCGTCTTGATGCCCCGCTCGACGGCCTGTTTGTAGCAGATCCCCTTGTGGCGGTTCTTATCCACCAGTCCGCCGATGATGTAGGTGCTGAACGGCTTCAGCTCCGTCAGGGTATGCGGACTGTCGCTGCTCAAGTAAACCACCTCGCCGTCCTCAGGTTTTGTGTCGGCCTTGTCCGCAAAGACGCCCTCGAACCGGCCGCCGTCCGGCACGACCATCCACTCCTTGGCCTTCTCCGCGGCCTCGACGAAGTCCTCCTCCAGGAAGCGGATCCCCTTCCAGTTCTCGTACGTCTTGGCCAGCACGGTATCGAACCGCTGCTTCAGTAGCTTGTTGAACGACGAGACCACCAGGTGCGACCGGAACGGCGCGCGGCTGTTGTCCGAGTACGACCGGGTCAGCTGCGAGCCCAGCGAGATGCGCTCCTTCTCGATCATCAGCTCGTCGAAGCTGCAGTCGAGGATCAGCGTCAGGGGCAGCAGGGTGCCCTTCCGGAACCGCGCGGGCGTGCGCTCGTGCTCCTTGCGGAACTCCGCCTCGCGGCCCTCGTCCTTTGCGACCTGGAGCTCCGCCCGCCGGCGCTCCTTGCGGGCCTGGATGCGCTCCTTCCGCTTGACCTTGCGCTGCTCGCGCCCTTCCTCCCACTGTTCCCGGCGGCGCTGGCGCTTCATGGCGCGCTTGGACATCGGGGCCGTCTCGTCGGTCGGGTCGCTTGGGGCGCCATTGTTCGTTGTTGTTGTGGCGGTGGTGGTATTATCATCATTATCGCGGGTTTCGACTGGAGCAGTTGAAGGTTCCGGCACTGGACTCGACTCCGCCATCGTTGTGTCCTGCTGTGGTGGTGTTGGTTGTTGCGAGTCGTCGTGGTCGAGCTTGACCAACTTTCTGGGACGACCTTCCTCCATTTTCTTTTCTCGAAGCGACGAAGAACTCTTCACAATTGAGACAAAGCCCAACAACAAAAGTCTCTCAAGAAAAGGGTCCTCCAATTAGACACTGTAAATATAGTATATAATCTCGCCAAACCGGCCCAGCTATCCAAAAGATCCCAACTTCCGCTGTTCATAAATGGAACAATCGACAATGACTTCAAGAACAATTGATCAATGAATTTCGGACCGGCATGGGGGAAAGGAACACCCCACCAATAAGAACCCAGCCAGCCCGCATTACCACATCCGCCGCCCACCACGTGACCGTCACACTCTCCCAACCTCAAACCACTAACGGCATCATATCTCCAAATCGAAGCTCGGCCCGGCCGTACGGTACGACTCACCTGCTCTCACAACCAATCGTCCACTCCCCTCCCTCCCAACCGATCACCATGCCTCAGGACATGCCCCCCGCTGGGGGCTACCACCAGGTGCAATACAAGGTGCGATTGACCCTTCCAAGTTACCCTGGGATTCGGCGCCAACCCCGGATGCAATCGATCGATGCCATACCATTGATTCAATTTCCCCTCCATATCCCAGCGCGTGCAACCTCGAATGGCAAACGACCAGACAAATCAATAAACCACTTTTCCCTTCTACTGGATATAAACTAACGCCCAACTCAATGGAAACAGCGCAACGTCCCCGTCCGCGGCTTCCGTCCCATCGTCTACCTCGCCGGAATGGTCGGAGCCGTCAGCTACGGTCTGTACAAGCAATACTACTCGATGCGTGAGATGCAGTACGTCCAGCCTCACCCCCTCCTTCGGCACCGCAATCCCAACCCCTCGCCAGGCAGAGAGACAGAAACAGACAGCTTGGACAAAAAGAAGCGAAGCTAACAACAATCCCAGCGAACTCGGCCGCGAGAAACTCTGGGGCCGTCTGCACATCATCCCCCTCCTCCAGGCCGAGGAAGACCGCGACCAGGTCCGTCGCTACTACGCCGACAAGGCCCGCGAGCAGGAGCTCTTCGGCTCGGAGAACCGGGTGTATAACTCTGACCGGTACGCGTGCCCCAACCCCTACCTCTCTCTGTTTCCCGGTGTCGAATATGATGCTATGTTTCATGCTATGGTTCATACTATGGAAAACTAATATACCGAAAAACAACAGCTTCGTCCGCCCTACTTTCGCCTATACCCCTTCGCAGGTTACTGAGTAAACTGAAGTTTTCTGAGAATCAAATACAAAAAAATTTGAAGACATCTTTTCTTGCTTCACGGTTTGTTTTCATTGTGTACTGTACTGTACTTTATCTAGGATTGCGAATGTGCTTTTTTCTCCAAGGTTTGTTCTTGTGTTTTCAAAGAGGTAGTTTCGACTCGTTGCGTCTATGGGCGTAGGGGTGACTGAATCCTGAAGGGTGTATTTTATGGTATGGATCTTGGTTTATGCCCAATTAGGATGATCGCCTCCATGTAGAAAGATGAAGTATACGTAGCTGGCAGAGGAGAAGGTGGGTTACTGCAGCGTTCATGCGAGATAAGTGACATCAAGTGAGCCGTCGTGGTCGTCTTCGAGACACTGGCTATCGGCAATTATACTATATGATCTCAACTCGGCGACTGCTGTTTGCGCTTGCCCGAATTACCTTGACACTTTTCGCTCCCTGAACCCCAGGTGGCTTCAACAAGCTGTCTATATTCTTTAGTAGTAGCTATGCAACCCGATAAAGAGGTAGCTGTAACGGCAGTGGCCGTAAACTACCGCCGTACTATACAAAGGGGTAAACCGTGAAGCGGTCTTACCCCAAAAAATCTATAACCTGTGCGATCCTAACCAAACAAATCCGCCACCCCGGACAGATCCGGTCCGTCGTTGATATCGACTTTCTGATTCTGCTGGCCTTCCATCTCACTCGTCATGTATCTCTCCTGCAGGGCGCTCCGCGCTTTCCGGCGGTCCTCGCGCGAACCCAAGATCTTGCCTTGCTCAGCTATGCTGACGCCTCGCAGACTCTCTAGAAGATCCAAGATCAAGGCTCTTTGCTGTCTTGCGGCAGTTGACCTTACCAGCGCAGCTTCTGCATTGGCTACTCGCTGCTCGCTCATGCCAGGAAGGCTCAGGATAACTGCGCGCGGGGTCGGGCTGCTCGAGCCGTAGAGTACCCAGATAGACGCAATGAGCTGAGCAAGATCTTTCTGCATGTCGACAAAATAGGGCTCATGCACGGACGTGATGCAAGCTTTGAGGACCTCGGAAGAGATGAACTCGCGGATGGTGATTGTCGTAGGTGTGTTGTTGGGAGGGGCAAAGTCTTGCAGGATGGAGCGAATGACACGGGTGATGATGCTGCAGCAACGGGTATCGCGCATACGAAGGGCATGGGTGCAGAAAAGCATAACTGGTTCAAATATCTCAGGTGAAGAAAGAATAAAATGCCGGATAGAGTCCGAGAGTGCTGGTGCAGGCTGCAGAGCGCTGGGATCTGCTAGCTCGTCGTCAGGATCTAGATTACTGTTTAGCATGCGTCCAAATATTCAACGCCCTTTGACTTACCACCACGCTGAGGATCAAGCAGACTTGCTACCATGATCACCGCAGAATACGTCAACTGGCGCAAGATACTCTCGGACTTCATCTCGTCAGTCAGGTCGTCAGACTCAGCAAGTCCCTCTTTTCTCTGCTCAATCAGCTCCCATTCCGATGTGACCTTCTTGTCAATGCTGGTAAAGAGGGTGGCCAGCATTGGAGGCAGAAAGTTGCTTCGGAAGCGAACCGGGCAGTCATCAATCAAGCAACGTGAAATATTGAGAAGAACAGAGAACTGATGGGAGGAAAGGTGGACGGCGTCCTTGAAGAGAGCTTGGGAGAGGGGACCTGGGAGTTCTGCGAATCCATAGAAATTCTCCCGTAGTCGGCTCATGCTGAACAACATTGAGTAGCACGCTTCACGCACAGCTCGAATTTTGCCTCTCACAGATGAGGCGAATCCTTCGACTGAGCCACGAGATGCAGTGATCTTAGCATAGAACTCATCACGGCTACCAGTGGAAATCCCGGCTTGCCAAAATCTATCAGTCAAGATGCGTTCGACGACCGGCGCCATGTCTGCGGGCAAGCCCTTCCAGTTGCCGGGATTGTGGAAGGCATGAGCATTACTGACTAACTGTAGAAGCGTCGGCAAAATGATAGGAATAAGATCATGCCATACATTGCAAGCAAGCTCATATGCTGGTTCAGACCTTTTGAGCTTATCCGTAGAGACGGCCAGCATCGTCTTGGTGCCTCTCAAAGGTAGTTGCTGGAACTTCCTAGTCATTTCTTCC